TCACCCGACAGACGGCTCTTGCGACACCTCGGGCGAAAAACGAGGGAGTGGGCGGCAGGCGTCCTGGATCGGAGTTGGCCTCTTGCGACCCCTCGAGCGAAACATCTCTGGATCGTCCTGGACATGTCCTGGATCGTCCTGGACATGTCTGTCACCAGACAGACGGCTCTTGCGACCCCTCGAGCGAGAAAAACGAGGGGGTGGGCGGCAGGCGTCCTGGATCGGAGTGGGCTTCTCCCAGCCGAGGGCCCGCAGCTCCTGGGCGCGCGGGGCGGGTGGCGAGGACGCCCCCGCGCGCGCGCGCGCACCGCCGCGCCGACACACACCGGCGCAGGTCGCCGGGGCGCGTCCCAGCGCGTCGCCTGGGCCAGGACCTCCGATATCATTTACCAGCCTCGAACGTATCCCTATCCCTAAGATTGGCACGCCACAAGGCGGTGACAATCTCAGGGGTTCGCCCTCAAAAAATGAGGGGACCCCTAAGATGGGCATCGTGATGAGGAGGTGCCCAGCATGGGGATAGGGATATGTTCCAGGCTGGTAAATCATAGCATGCTCTTCCCTGTATCCAAGAGTATCCTCAAGGCCCCCTGACCACAGACACGCTAGACTAGGACATCCAACATACCTCGAAACCAGCTCTTCCCGACGGCGGCACGAAAAAACTGCACTGCACAAGAGGGCGGCACGGACAAGCAGCCGCAAAGGCCATGAAAGCCTGCAACACCTCCCCTAGACCCGGACAAAGACCCGAATCCTGCAGTGCAGCAACAGAAATATGCTCTGGACGACCAAGTGCAGCAACAAACAAATGCGCTGGACGACCAAAATCTTGACTTTGCAGGAAAGGGTGTCGCTTGCCCAACTTGCCAATGTCCTGGTTAGTCTTTGTCCTGGTCTCGGGGGCGCTTAAATCAACGCAAGACAATAAAGCCGGAGGACGAAAGCACGTCCATGCAGCTTCTCAATATCGGGCTGACATTTCGTCCCTTGCGGGACTTTACTCAGCCAAACTGACCACTAACGACGTGCATTCAAAAGGGCATCGAAACATTGGCCCACCACGTGCAACAAATCGTGCTGAAATAATGCCCCAACCCACTGCAACAACGAGGATGATGATTCCAACCTTGGGCACAACACACCGCCACAAAGGGCTGCACCGCACCGTGAGACGAGGACGAGGATAGACCATAGAGTCGCACGGGTCCGCGTGCAAGCCTCTAGTGCGGCCGCGGAATGGTCGCATCCGATCTCTTGGCATATGCTTGTACAGAATCCCTAAGGGCAGTAGAATTCGGTTAGCACAGTTGGGCTGTCCATCGGCCACACCCTTTGACACCGACGCTCACGCATTACTTTCGGGCGCACGCTAAGATGGCTTGGGGACCCCTGGATCTGGCGCATGGGCGCCAGATCCACGGATCGTGATCGGGGAAGACCCCCCCGAAGCACGGCACAGGGCAGTTTTTCAGAAGTAGGATTTCTAAACATATGGGATGTTTAATACATGACTAATGTATGAATAAATTCATGCATGAACTCATCGTTGCTTTTTAATCTAAATCCCGGCATTTGTTATACCGGGTCCGCACGCGGAGCATTATCAAAAACGGCACGGCACCAATGCTGCCCGATTTGGCGACGGAGCGCGCCAACTTGGAGTGGAAACGGGAACCGCCGCTCGTCCACGCGCCTCCATCCATGCTCACGCTTTCCGGATACAGTCAAACCGTGCATTAAGGACGGGTGGTAAGGACGCAAGACCCTTGGAGGCCGAAGTTAAGATTTTTCGGGCGGCGTGCGACCAGTGAAAACGGCAAAGGACAGGCCGCAGAGGCAAGGACACAAGGGCACCGTCGATGAAGGCGCGCGTCCTCAATAGGCGCGTTGACTGTACTTGCGTCACTTCCGCCCCTGCTCCCCTCCCCCCTGGGGCAGTCGCGGAAGCGGCCTTCGCCACCCAGTCGGGAAAAGGCAGCTCATCGAGGTCCACGATGGGCTTCGGCAGGTCCTGCGCTGGCGGCCGCCGTCTTCACCGCGCTTGTAGACGTGTTTGCCTCGTTGGGGCTTCCAGGAAGCTTCTTACTGCCACGACTGGATTCCCTGGAAGTTTCGGGGATCTTCTGACCCGGGTCAATCCAGACCCGGGTCAGCGGGAAACCAAAAACTGCAATGCAGGAACAAAAACTGCAACGCAGATCTTCGCAAACCAGGGTCAGCCAATATGCGCGGCCGCCTCACGGCCACGCGCGGCTCGCTAACCCGGGTCAGCCAGAGGGGGTCTTCGCAGGATCCTGCAGGATCCGGTGCCCTGGCTGACCCCCGTCTGCATTGACCCCCGTCTCTTGGCTCCCGAAAAGTTCTTCATGCAAAACTCACCGGGAGAGCCTGGGGGGCGGCTGTCGTCGTTGGGTGGAGAGGGCGAGGGAGGGGGGAGGCAAGCTTGTTGCGCTCGCGCCATATCTGACATCCTAACCTTCCCATCCATTCAACCATTCTTCCCCATTGCGCTGACGTGTTCTCTATCTGCGTACACGTGTCATCGAGAGGACCTCGAATTCCAGAAAGGACCCCATCGTGCTTCGCGAAATCGGAAACGGGGAGCTGCACACATCTGAAGAGGAGGTGGCGGATGAGCAGGAGGTTGAGCCGGAGAAAGAGGACAACGAGGGAGGAGGAGAACGGGGACGAACAGCAGCAGCAGGAAGCTCGAGCAGAAAAGGCAAGAAAAACAGGAGGACCCGGGGAAGGCGGGAGAGGGGGAAGGAGGGGTAACCAGAAGTAACCATGAAGGGACGAAGTCCAGACAATACTAATGGGCGGGGACTAATCCGAAGAAGAGTACCCGCGGAGGGGAAAGGAGGGGGACGACAACGAAGAGGAAAGGTTCGGATCCAGAAAATAGTTGCGCGCGCTGGGGCGAGAGCGTCATTCTGAACGACGGGCGCAAAACGCCAATCCTCAAGTGAGGCCCACGCTGCAGCGTCAGCCGCACTCTGAGACACCGACATTGGAAAAGACCATAAGAGGGACCAACTGGTGAAATCCTTGTGAAGAACAATGCGCGGAGGGAGGCGGGCGACTCCCCCGCCATCTTCGGGTGAGAAAGGAGAGTAGTCTTCACATTGAGTATACGTCAGTCCGAAGAAGCTGGTAGACACATACATCAGGACGGCGCTGTAAATACGTTGGGTTTCCGCCCACCCCCATGACGAGGAGAGACGAGGGCAGGCCACTCGGCTCTCGAAGTAGGAAGGCGCCTCAAGTAGGCTGGGAACTGGGCACCCAAACATATGACTACCTACCAGACCACCCCAACCCAACCCGAAGATCCGAATTTGACACGAATTTCGGGTTTGGGGGGGGGTACGGGTCCCATGTGTTTTGTAAGTGTTCCACAACCCCCCCCCAAAAGGAAATACAGGGCAACTTGAAGCCTTCGGGCTGGGTTGGGGTGGTTTGGTGTGGTGGTGAACATGCCTGCTTTCAACGACCGGCCTGCAGTTGTAGAGAGGGAGGCTGGCATGAGATACAGGGGTCCAGTGGTAAACGAGGGCCTGGACCCCGAGGCCCCCCCCGACGCCCCTAAGGGGGGGGGGGCCGGGATGACCCCCGGTAGCGCGAGGACACGGCGAAGGGCGCCAGAGACGAACTTCCCCGTAGGGTCCCCTCCGCGTCGTGGCCAGGAGAGAGGGACAGGAGGACGCAAACGATACGCACCCACATCGATTCTGGCCAGGCCAACGATGGACCCACGATCGGCGCGTACGCCTCTTCCTCCTCCTCCTCCTCCTCCTCCTCCTCCTCCTCCTCCTCCTCCTCCTCCTCCTCCTCCTCCTCCTCCTCCTCGTGGTCCTTGTCGAGCTTCCCCCTCCTGAGCTTATTCCCCCTTCTACTCCACCTCCTCCTCCTCCTCCTCCTCCTCCTCCTACATTTCTACATTTCTCGCTATGCAGCGTCTTGTCGCGCGCCCCGCGGGCGCGGAGCGCGCCGCAGCGGCCCTTCAGGGCCGTGCGGGCACCCGGACAGCGGCCCCGGGAACCCGACCCCGAGGAAAGCAGAGGGAACCAGGGACCAAGTTAAACCTCAGCGGAGGAAGAAGGGGGGCCGGGTTTCAGCAAAAAGAAAAAAAAAAAAAAGGGGCCCGTCAGGGCCCACGGGCGGGCGCCGCGCGCGCCCGCGCCCGCGGGCGTCAGGCAGCGCGGCGCACGGCCAGGCCGTCGGCCTCTTTGTGGGCTGGCGGCCGCGTGGTGGCGGCTGGGCTCCCTTCGGCGCCTCGCGCTGAGCCCAGCCGCCGTGGGGTCTTCGGGTGGCTGGCTGCCCCCAGCTGCGGCGGCCTCCACCCTTCGGCGCAGCGCGCTGTGGAGGCTCGCCGAGCCGCTCGTGGGCTCCAGCAAGTCTGCAGCGGCTGCTCTCGTCATCATGCCGATCAAGGCCGGCTGGCCTCGGCCCCTCGCATGCCACGCGAGGGCGACGGGGATACACCCGTCGGCGCCTGGCGCTGTGTATCCCTCGCCGAGGGGCACGCCGCCCCTTCTCATCGAGTAGTCCATGATGCGCTCGAGCCTGCAGTGCTGCTTGACACTGTGGTGCTCGAACTTGTATCCCTCGTCCTAGCCGTGCTGGACGGGTTGGTACTCCTGCGTAATCCTGTCCAGTCGTGCTGGTCGTCCTGGTACTCACTAGCCGTAGTACCCGATGTCGTCAGTCATGCCGCCCCCGCCTCTGCAGTACAGGAGGGTGCTGATCTCGGGGGTTGTAGATGGCGGTCGTTTGTAGGGCTGAGTGTAGGGTGTGGAGCGTGCTGGTCAGGTCGTTGGGGGGTCGGATCGTTGCTGGTGTTGCGTTGGTTGTGGGCTTCCAAGGCCTCCATGCACCGACTTCAAGTGGGGGTCTTGGCTGTCCCACCTCGTCCCGCTATGGCTAGGGGTCACAGTGCCCTCGGTGGGGGCGAACCCCAGGCCTGGTACTTATTATCGTCGGAGTGGGATGTCTCGGCTGTCCTGTGCTTCGCCCTCGGGCGCTCGGGTAGCTCCTCCTTCTCCATGGGAATGGTGGGGGTGGCGAGCTAGGGCGGACCGCGGGGGCGCAGGTAGTGGCCGTCCTACCCCCCCCCCCTGCCCCTCACCATCCCCGCTGGTGGGCGCGGGAAGTACTCGTCCTTCCCCCCCGCCCTTCGAGCCCGTCTCGAAGTTTGATCCTCACCAGGACAGCGTTGACTTGACAAGAGGTGTGCGGGGTCGTGCTGGGTATGCTGTCGATGTCGGTCAGTAGTACGACGGCGACGTGTGGACCGCCCGCGGCCAGCCAGCTGGTGTCCTCCAAGTTGTAGGTAGCCAGTCGCCGCCAGGGTACTCACAGCAAAACGTGGCGACTTGTGCCTGGGGTGTTCCCTCGCATTCGGGGCTTCCCCAGGACTTGCGTCCTAACCAAGGCAAAACTTGGCGACGCTGCCTGAGGTCTTCCCACGCATTCGGGGCTTCCTCAGGACTTAAACCATGGCGCCGTAGTGCCTGTCTCCCAGGAAGCTCTTTGCCGCGAATATACTGCCGTGTACATGCTGCTCTTGTCCAGGGCGCTGGATAATCATAGAAGTAAATGCCAGGGTTGAAAGAAAGCCAATAAACCCAGAAAGTGCTCGAGGGGGGGGCACGCTCCGTCGCCATTGAGGGATCGTGCCCACCCGTATGGGCGCTACGGGTCCCCCCCCCTCGAGTATGGCACGCAATCGCTGTCCAAGACGAAGCCGTGCCAATAACCCAATAGTAATGCGGGTCTTGAATACATACAGTAGGTGCACTGATGCTGACGCGCCTGCTGCCACTCTGAAATGTTACCCGACTGTACACCATTCTGTAATACCAACTGCCCTCCAATCTGTAAGATGCAAATAGTCTGTGCGCCAAACTGCAATCTGATGGTCCCTTCCAGGGACTGGCAAGTATGAATAATCCTGAAACAATTAAAACCGAATATCTGTGCAGTCAAACGTAGTGCCGCTGCAGTGTCAGCTGCTAGCGCCGTTGGATACCCCATGTCCTGTGACAGTCGTGGCCCAGCTGCTCTGGCTCGATGTAGTAGTCCAGGGGGGGCGTAGAACCTGTGATAGCATTCATCCGTTTCGGCCCACATTGCCTCTTCGTCAGCAAGCTGTCCCCAGTGGGCTGCGAATGCAGTTGCCATTGCCTTGCACAGCATTGAAGGATATTCTTCGAGGGGGCGGTCCTCCAGCCGCCTTGGCCGTCTCGTCCGTAAGCTCTGTCATGTCCGTTATGTCGGCATAGCTGCCCCCCAGGTACCGCCCCCAGCTCCTGTGTAAGTTCACTGAGGTGTACCGCCATCAGGCATGTTGGCTTTCGCGCGGCCTGCCCAAACTGGCACTGGTCTATGTAGTGCAGTTCGACGCTCGTCTGCTCCAAAAGCCAGAGCGTCTCTGCTCGCTGCCAGCTGCTCGGCGCTTGAGGGCGCCAAGTGGCTGGAGCGGGATGCTCGAGTACGGCAGATACATTGTACTGCAAGCCAGTGGTGATGAGTAGTAGAGCTGTCCTGTATAGCTCGTTGGCTAGTGCTATCTGTTGACGCTCCGCTTGATTGGCTGCTTGTATGCCCCAGGGGAAGTCGTGTGTACGTTGTGGCCGTGGAGCTTTTCCCTCGGCGGCATGCCAGCGCGATGAACACCACGTCTCGCAGGGGGGGCCAGCAACAATGCCAAATATTTTGCCCTGTCGTATCGCCGCGCACCAAAACTCGACGACGTCTGGCTTCGTCAGATCTCCTTTGTCGGGGTCTATCTGCACGTCGATCGATACTACCAAATTGCATTCCCGAGTGTTCATCTCGAAGTGGTGCTGGAAATCCTCGGTTCGGCGTCTGCCTGAGAAAAGGTGCAGTAAGAACATAGCCGTAGTAACCATGGGCCTGCACGGTGCGAATGCACTTGCAGGTGGCGTCGCTGGTCGAGGGTCCGCTGCTGCAGGCGGCGCCGGCGAGAGCTGGAGCTGATGCTGTTCG